AATTCTGGGGAAAAAAATTCTGGGGAAAAAAAAATTCTGGGGAAAAAAAAAATTCTGGGTTCCTCGCTGGCGCTAGGCAGGGCTCTGCGGAGGCTGGCCCGGCCCGCCTCGCCTGTGACAGAGGACCCCCATCTCGGCCACCCCGCCTCCCGCCTTGCTCACACCGCCGCCAAATTGAATCCTGCGTGATCCGAAAGCATCGCCAGGAACGCATTCCCCACAAAGGATTGAAAATAGGATTTTTTTTTTCACTCCCAAATCTTTTCCTTCCTGACTTTATGAGCAGGAAGTGAGATGAGGAAAATACAGAAAAACAGAATAACGAGACAATAAAACATGACGCCACCAAGCAGAGCAATCATGAAGATTTCGGTACATTTCAGTGGGGAAATATCAGAATTCTTTTAAGACGTACGGACTCTGGACGAATACGTGTTAGAAATATGGGCGTGACATGAACGGGTCCACAATGTCTGATCTCAAAGTGGACTAGAAAAATATCTTGGTGGAAAAATAAAATATCAAGGAAAGAGAAAAAAATAGATTCTGGTATATTTTATATTCCAGGAGTTTTTCTATCCACATCCATGCTTACGAGACAACGGAGGGCATATTTCCTACTTTAGTATTTCTAATTTTCTAAATTTCTAAATTTGTATTTCCAATTTGGTACACTTTTAAAAACTTCACTTTTCTAGCGCCACTCCAAACTCATCCGAAATTCATTTTTTTTAAAGCTCCGTATTTCTTTAAGCACAGCTAATTCCCGAATTGTTCTCTTCTTCGGACGTTTAAGTTGGCTCCGATCTTTCGCGTCCTCAAACAAGCCAGAGGAACACAGAAAAGCTACGATTTCAAACGATTTCCCCAGTTCAGATTTTTAGCGGTAGGATTATCTGGAACGTTCCGTCTTGAGAAACCGCTTTCAATACGATTAAACCGCATACACACTGCCCACCGTGTGCGAATGGTCCAGGATCCTGGGTCTGGCTGTGGCCACGTGACAGCTGAGTGGTGACTGCCCAGCACTGCCAGAGCGGGCACGCCTCTGATGACTCGGGGTGCTGGAGTCGTCTGGCCCCTCATGTGGGAGCAGAGCTCTGGCTCCTACACCCCCTGCCCCCCGCAGCGGTGCAAACCAGTCTCCCTGCTCCCCGCTAACGTGGCCCGAGACGGTTACAATTTTCAGGCTATCGCTTTATATTTTAACATTTTGGTAAAATGAGATCGAAAGAATGTCTTTGGTTAGCCAAGGAATTGTAATTCCACACGGGCCTTTTGATTAGACTGTGGCAAAAGTCAACTCGTCTTGAATTTGATGTCCATTACTCAACAGCCCGGGTTTAGGCCAGGGGTTCTCGTGCTGGAGAATGAACCAGAATCCCCTGGGGGGGCGGGCGTGGTGCTCATGAGAAACAGCGCTGGGCTCCATGCTGGAGTTTCTGGGGCGGTGGGTCTGGAGCAGGCCTGAGAACTTGCATTTCTGACAAGCTCCCGGTTGAAGCTGACCCTGCTGGCCCAGGAACCCCACTTTGAGAACCGCCACTGTGGACGAATGTGACTTCCCTGTTACTGTCCTGCGTGATGTTCACGGTGAGGGACAACTGGGCCTCCTGTCAAGGGCCCCGGGCGAACCCACCCGCAGGCAACAGTGCCTGGGCTTAGCTCGTTGCTTCCAGACCAAGTTTAAGTTCTAGGTCAGTGGTTCTCCGGCTTGACCGGGCAGTGGGATCAACTGGGAGGTTTAAAAAACACTGACGTCTGGGTGTCGTACCCCAAGATTCTGATTTAAGCAACCTGGGGCCTGGTCCACACCTGTTAGGAGCTGTCCCCAGGGAGTCTCGGGCACAGCCTGAGTGACAAGCCTGTGGTTGGAAAGCCACAGTTCCCTAGGTGCAGACCGACCTGAGGCGTCACCTGGTGTGACGGTTACACATGCAAATTCTTGGGTCCTAGTCCAACCTCTGAGGTTCTGATCCCCAGCCCTCCAGGGGATTTCGATGTGGGTCAGGTGAGAACCACTGCTCTTAAAGAAAGAATTCAGTCTCAGCCAGCCAGGCGCTGAGCTGGGATCACAGACTGGTTCAAACGGATCCGCTGGCTTGGAGGAGAGAAGGCGGCCACGCTCAGCCTGCCCCCTGGCCCTCCGCCTGCGATTTTGCTGCAGAAAAAGGGTCTTTAGTTGGGCCCCTGCAGCAAAGGCACGGCCCACCCTCCAGGGGGCAGCTGCAGGCGCCGTGCCCCGCCCCCCAAAGCGGCAACCGCCTCTACCTGCAGGTCCATCTCCGCCAAACTGATCAGCATCCGCGCTATAAACCTTTGCCAGAAGCCGATGGGAACGAAGCTCATCTTAAACACCCTCTGAATGGTGTTGGCCGTGGGGTGCCGCAGGCCGTGGGTGTCCAGGCCGGGTTTGGACGGAAGGAGGTGTGGCAGGAGGTAGCTGAAACACATCAGTGGGGACCGTGAGCCACGCGGCCCGGCTCTGCTGCCGGCCCCGACCCCGGCAGACAGCCCGGGTGCCTTCTTCCCCGGGCCTTGGGGTTTTATTTTTAGAAAGACAGAATAGTTTCTAGGGTGAGAATAAATGCTCCACACGTAAACAAAGACGGGCTTGAATGTATTTATCAAGGTCTCTAAGACAGAGGAGACACGCTAGGGCACGTGGCGTCGTCAACGCATCAGACAGCAAACTGCAGCTGATGCTCTGCAAACGGGGTCGCGACTGGGGATGCGCTTAAAATTAACTTGGCACAGTGACGGGGAAACAAACACAGCTGCGCAGTTCCAGGGACAATGCGCATACTGGGTCCGAGTGATGTTTTTGGCTTTTGAAGCTCTTTATTTTTCTTGGCCGGGCGAGACGGCACAGTCGCTTTTCAAGTTAGAACGAGGCTGTTTGTGCAAAAATAGGGATGTTTTATGGGAGCGCGCTGTGTCCGTGAGCTGATTGCGGCTGGTCGTTTGAAAACCCGCAGAATCTGGGGAGGTCCCTTCACGAGTGTCCCCGAAAGCCAGCATCTCCTGTGTGTCATGGAAGGCTCGGGGCGGCCTCAGGCAGAGCTCTGAGTTAGTCCTTTTCTTAACGAAGGCTTTGCCTTCAGCTCTCCTAATTCGCTTAAAATACGTCAGTTTAGGTCCGATAGAAAAGGTCTTTAAAACTTTCTGGAATAGACTCCAAAAAATATCGCAGGAGCAAAACTCAGTGACGGCCTGGTGGGCAGAGGGCAACGAACCAGCTGACTTTACTGTTTGAGCGGACACGCGACTGTGCATGACTGACTGGCTTTTACTGCATGTTAATCTCTCTTCACGTCTCTAACCTGCCGATGAAACAGTCAGACAACTGTCAGATCTCGGCAACGTTGTAGCTTTACCTTCTGCTTTTTCATGGACCCAAGTCAAGGGCACTCCTGGAATGAGGGATCGTGTGGATGTGGAATTCCCTGGTGGTGTCTCTGTTTAGGACTCACTCCTGGCACTCGGGCTGCAGCAGCGGGAAGGACTGATCCCCCCACCCACCCCCACGGATATAAGGCCAAGTGGGAATCTGAGTGGAGGTCAAGGCAAGGGTGGCCCCGGGCTGTCCGCACAGGGTCCAAACTATTCCTCCCAGGAGGCTCCAGTGGGCATGTCCCCAGAGCCCAGGGTTGGGGGACAAGCAGGTGGCATATTCTGCGGAACGTGCATGCAAAAGGTCTATGGGAGTGGATCCTGGCTCCTGGCCAACATCAGCCTCAGCCCCAGGACGCGGCCGAAATGAAAATCGGGGCGCGGGGGCCCTAAGTTCCGGGCTGGCTCAGGCTGGGATCCCTGGCCCCGCCGTGCACGCCCGCCCTCCCCGCACCGGGAAGCTGGGCTGTGTCATCGGCAGGCACGGCCTCGTCCCTTCAGCCCCAGCTCCGTGCTCCCGGGAGCATGGTGCCGCCCGGGTCGTGACGCACCTGTTGTTGGCCACGGGCAGGGCGATCTCGAACTTGGCCAAGAACTGGAAGTACTGCTCCTCCGTCTGCTGCGTGAA